GAAAATTATTATTTCCTCAACCGCTTAGTAATAACAAAATTTAGCTAATTTGTAGATGATGCAAAAGATTCAAAACGGGATTTCTGAATGCACCTAATAAGAGTAGCCCCCTCTTAGATTTAATTGTTAATGAAATCTCAAAATTAATGACATTTTGGGTGTATTATTCATCTATTAAGCCCACAATATGTTGCATCTTTCTTCTCCACTTGTTACTCTGGTTTCACGAAAATTGGCCGTCTCTTTCCTGCCATTCATTCTTCTCAAACTCGTTTCATTCTACTTGCATAGGCTTAACCATAGCGAAGAATATTTTTTCGAAGCTTCAAATAGATTCTTTCCCTCGAATGAATCAGATTTCACACTGGTCATTTACAAATAGTCAAATACCTACGACAATGGTGCTCGAGCTCCACGAACATCGAGCTCGCTGCTTTTTTTCCAACTGGTAATCTGAGATCTCTCGGCGCTTCGCGGCGTCCAGTTTTTTTTCTCTATCGCCGTCTCGCCGAACAGACAAGGATGACATCGTTTTTTATGTACTTCCTCGAACTTTTTCTTACGCTTTTTTCAGTATCTTCCCCGTGTTCACTGTTTCCATTGATGAACTTCGGCGCTTAAAGAACATATACCGGTTTCTTTATTCTTAAAGGAGATATTTTAAAGAGACGGGTAGCTTCGATGAAGAAAAATTTTTATTTTCTATTATATTAGTATAATTAAATCAATATGCAGGGTATTTTTACAATTTGTTTATTATTTGTTTACCGGAAACTTCTGTTCAATAATGTCATCCCAAATTTTCAAAGATTAATCATTTTATAGAAATGAAATTCACAAATTACCATCACGCTAGGAGAAGGTCATTAGTAACGATAGAAATGATATATTGTTCAGTAAATATTAATAAGTGTATTCTCTTTTAATTCAAAAAAGGACACCGGTTCTCTTTTAATTCAAAAAAGGACAGAATATGTCTGTTACTCGACTATTATATTTGTAAAGTGACAAAAACTCGATACATCTTAATTTTTCTTCAATTACACCGTGTAATCGGCAATCTGCCGTCTAAATTCCTCTCTAAAGTAATAAGATGCAAATTTCACGCGATGCGAATCTCAAGAAGGTGTACCGTTTCGTCTGGAGTGCGATGATTTGTAAATCTGAATGCTTGCTGCCCGATTTACAATGAAACGAGCTCGCCACACGGCTCTCGCCGTGCTCAAAGCAGGTGCATGGAAATGAGCGGTGAGGCTCATTACAAAACCCAACACTCTATAAGCTTTATTCATCTCTTTATAATGTCCGGAGTAAGATAAAGTGGACGGGAAAATAATCAGAATGTTTAAGGTACAACGGGGAACGCGGTTACCTTGCGACCAATCCTGAACACCATCATCGGTAAACACTTAAACACACTATTAACGTTGCCATTGGTAGCCCTTGCCAGGTCGACACGGAACCGTGTACCAATCTAGACTCGTAAAACGGGCCGAGTGTGTCCGGTAATAACGTGCGAACGCGCTATCCATCAGCCAGGACAAAACAGTTAAGCGGTTGTACGGTTTCGCGATAATGAACGTCCGCCTGGCGAAATGTCGCTGGAAAAAGGCTCTGAAACACGCGTTAAATCTTCTGGAATCGCGACATTAAACTTGCTGGATCGTTGTTGAACTCGTGTAAAAATTCTTTCAGAAAAAGGGTGTGGAAGCTTAAAGGAATTTCTTTCAATTTAGGATTCGAGGAGAGCTTAACCCTCGAACGACGGACCATGGAGAGAGTCACAATTTTATAATGTAATTTTGTTATTTTCATTTACTAAGTTTTACACTGTTTCTTTAAGAATTATTGTTCCGATATATGAAATCTTTTCATTTGAAAATTATACACTTAATGTGGGTCGTGGGTCACGATCGACCCACACTCCGAAGTAAAATCTTTACGCGGAAGAAACGTACCATGCTAATTACTATCTTCTAATGAAAAAAAGTAAAAAGGGCGTGAGAAGAAAACTTTGATCTGTATTCCAGTACGATCACCTTTAGAGGTGGCGGTACTACTAGATTCCGAGCTAGTTACCGTGCTACGAGGAAGTAAGAATACCTACTTGGCTAATCGGATGCTTAGATCGCCACCTGCTGATTTTGTATCATCGACCGTAGCCTAATTCGAGCAGCGGCTAGTTTACAGCTAGTTATCAACCGCGCGGATCGCTCGAATTAAAGTTTCACCCATATGGGCAGAGAGTCTATTAACCGTGAAGGTGGTGACTAATTAAATTCCTCGAGCACTGGACTCCGGGTACGTTCACACGATTCATGCTAGCGACGATCTCTTTTTGAAACGCCTCCGTTATCCTTTTTTTTTCTCCTCTTGTTATCATTGTTGTACATACGAAGTAGCCTGTATATTGATACGTATCTGTCTGTCGTTGTAACGGAGACTTTCAAATATTTATTCGAGCAAAAAACGAGTTTCGCTTTTTTTATAGCTGATCCAAGCTGTTTATAAGATGGGTGGATACGTGATATCGTTTTATTGATCTCTTTTAATTACGAAATTATTGCGGCTTTGTTCAGAGAATCGCAGCCCGCAGGATATTGTTTCTAAAATTAACACTTAGACGACCACACATTTCGTGGAATTTATGACTTATGTAATTTAACATTCGTTTTTGTATTTAATAGAGAATTATTGATTAGACGAGAATGTTTCCGGATTAGACAAGAACGAGGTCGTATCAAGCGATCGCGAGTGTCGCTGCTTTTTCTTCTCCATAATCTATCGTTCTTAACTTTCTTTCTGGCGTCCGACGATCGGTATACCACTTCACCCGTACTTTCTAACACGAGCGTTCGCGCAAACGAGCAGCGAGCAGAAATTAATCAACGGTCAGCGTTAAAAATGGCCGCGTAAGCTGCAATTTTGTTTCGCGTCTAGCAGGCTTTCAATTAGAGTCGCAAATCACGTACGGCAAATCGTGCTCGCCGAATTAAGCTTAACCAAGCTGTCTTTCACTTTGCCAGCAATTTATACCGATGTACTTACGTAGTTGCACGCGCGTGTAAGTACGAGTAAGCATAAAGCGCAGTAGAGAGAAGTGGCTGACGCCTAACCCAACGGCCGAGCCGCCTCCGGTGCGTACAACATAAATCTACCTTAATGATATCGCACGTAATGCCAGGGTGACGCTATCTCTCGGCTCGGTACACGTGAGAATACGGCTTGACACCTCGATCCAGCTACGTTTCGTACGGTGCTCGTAAGAGCAATCGCGCGCGAAGAAGATCGTATCGTTCGCGATTTTCTGCGACCCTTACCTTCACTAGCCTGCCCTCTCGTCGTTTAGGCGGATTCGCGTCGCGATGACCCGGTGGCTCGGCTTCCTCTCAGCCTCGAAATTTTCATCCTTACACTCGTCGCGTTCTCGTGTTTCTGCTCGTTCGAGCAACCAGAAACGATTTCGCTCGCGATTCCTTCCCAGATACGCTTCTTTAACCATGCCCGCTACTCGCTCGACTTTTTCACCCTTTACTTTATACGCTCGTTTCGTTTTTCTACTCTTGCTTCACGCTTGAACGATGTAGATGCTATCTACGCCCTTATTTTCACCACTTTTGCGCGCTACTTTGGCGACATCTCGAGATCTCCGGCTTCTTAATTACTGCTTAGATTCGTTTCGACTAACGAGCTCTCTATACACGTCATTATCGGCTTCAATTGAAGCGATTAGACGGGAGGACATGAACGCGAATGAGACTTTCAGATGCGTGTAAACTCGGCGGCAGGTGTAATAACGCGACAGGAAATCTAAAAAGTTCGCCGGTCGACCTGTTCTCGAAGTTGGTCTTCCTGTGAACTAATTGCGAGATCGGCGGAGTCGGAGACCAGAGGTAGGCGAAACGATAACGGGCCTTTCAGCGAGGAACTCGTAAATTTGTCGGCAGTGTGGTGTAACGTGAATTTTTAGGCTGTCTCCCCTTCTGCAAATTATCTTTCTTTCAATTTGTTCGCTGCACCTTATCGACTCGTGAGAATTCGATCGCTCGTTAAATAAGGTGTAACATTCGTATGGAGAAAGGTTCCTCTGCTTCCGTGTAATTTGTTTTTATACAAAATTTATAGCAATCAAAACCGTATCAAACAAAGATTATATGTTCGAAACCAACATATATGTAGTAGTAGATTCTTTCAGAATTATTATTCATTGGTTAAAATGTAAAGTAGCCTCTGATGTAGATCAAGATAAAACCACTTGTAGATCCTAAGATATCGAGTCGTTTTCGTCGACCGGTTAAAGGTGGACCTCCAAAGAAGTTGAAAAACGTACGAAAAGCAAACGGTTCTCCGTCGCAAAGAGTCCACCGTTAGAAGCGCATTAATATCGTCCGCTGAATTTCCCGGTTGTGTCGCGCCGACCTCCAAGAGAGTCCTGGTAAAGAATAGGGAGCAGTTAGATCGCGGTATTGTGACGAGTACGCAGGACACCGCGGGATGTCCGAGCGGTACCGGGAATCGGCAGGCTCTCTCTCAGTGGGTACCGGTAAATACCACTAATCACTTCTCGATCCTTTCTAACCCACCTTGACCCCTCCGTTGGAAGAGTTATGGCCGTTGGTTTTATTCAGGCTACCTCAGTCAGGACTTGGACTCTCGTTCGTGCGGATACGTTGCGCACACGTGGGCAGCCGTGAAAATTTACCCTGTAAAAATCGACAGGTGCGAAACCGTCGACGGAGTTACTTTTCATTGGAAATTCATCTCGTTTCCTTGAAATGTTAGTGATTTTTGGAATTGCATGCATTCGAATGCGCGATTCGTACATTTTTCGAAGAAATTCGAAAGTATCCCTAAATAAAGCTAATGGCGCTGCATCAGCCATGAGTAATTGCAGCGACATCGCGTCATTCGTTAGCGGAATCTAAATTAGCAATTTCAAAGCACACGATTATTTCTTGAAAAATCATGCAATTAGGGGTTAAGCAGAAAATAGACACGCGTTACAGACTCACAATGGAATTTTATTCACGGATCTCTGTGATACAAAGGATATGCAGTCATAGTACATCACTCCATGAAAATGATAGGCATGATTCATGGTACGGTCATAATACGATTGGCAAAGTACACGATTCAGACATAGTTAACGAGGAGACACGGTTCGAGACGTCGCGACGTCTTTAAGCCGAGCGACGCTGACAATGTGCTGAGAGATTGTCGCCACTAACGATGCTCAGGATCGCGGCACAAAACCGAGTCGCCGTCGTTCGGTGCATTAATCTTGATCAGGAATCTCCTGTCGATCGTCCGCACCATCTCGATCGCTGTTCGCCGATGATCGACTGTGACTCAGGCTACGTTCTCGACTCTTACTCTGTCTGTTCTGACGCTCCTGGTTGATTTCGTTCTCGCAGTCGCAGGTCGGTCCCTCTTGTTGTTCCACCGGCTCGTCCCTCAGGACGTGCATGTTTCTGCTTCGTTTGGTGCACCTGCACCTGGTGCATCCTATCCGTCTGGTCGTAGCAGCCCGTCTCCTGCCGCTTCGTCTCCGCCTTCGTCGCGATCGACCTCTGCGACCTCTCCTACGCCTCCTTCCTCGGCTACGTCTTCGTGATTTTCTTCGTCTGCTTCTTCGTCTTCTGCTCCTTTCCACGGGAGCCATGCTCGAGGCCAACTCCGCCACGTCCGTGTCCGTGTTCAGAAAGTAGTGGCCGTTGTTCTTCTTCAGGATACCGTAGTCCAGGCCCCGTTTCAACGCTGCTTGCATCTGGGAAACGTGTTTGTTAAGATACACTACGATATACGAAGTAATTCATTAGACGGTGGAAGTTTCATTAGTAGGAGATAATTCTACTGTCGGATTCCTGATATCGTCGAACGTATTGACGAAAAGCTGGACGGTTATCGCTTCAACCATCTGTCTCTCGTTAATGCGTCTTCCTTTTCAGGCAAGTTTGAACAGAGGAGATACCAAAACGACCCGTTTTCGATATCCTACCCTAGGCGATTCTAATTATGTTCTTAGGCCTCGAATACTCGACTAACATGTAATTTTTCTTTTCCACGGAGTAGGACATTGAATGTATAAAGTGTTCCACGTGTCCTATGACTCAAAAATGACATAATTTTAAATGGACGATACCTGTCGCTGTATGGTCGCTTCCGGCGCGCTGTATTGTGACATGATATAATTCATAATTTCCTTAGACGTGGAGCCGTGCGCCTCTCGCAGATTTCTGATTGCGTTGACCACCCTGGCCGACATCTTCGGCACCTGTCTCCCCATTTTGTCGTTTCCCCTGCCCTTCTTCACCGAATCGTGCCCTTCTGGGTCAGTAGATTGTTCGAATTAGGTCCCGGAAATGTGGAAAAAGGTCAGACCTCCAAAGTCGGCGCAGCTCTCCGGCAGCTGGAGCTCGATTATCCAGACTACGGTGCACATTTGAATTTCACAAGGGATTTAGACTTCTACGTTTTGTTCGCACACTTTGAATAAAATAATCACGAAAAAATTTGAACGATATTTGCCAAAATCATCGTGACGCGAGGGAACCGCGAAATAATTTACGTCTCGTTAGCGATCCCAAAGATAGTTGACGAGTTGTTTGCGTTTCCCGTGCTTCGTTTTTGTCGCGCAAGGATTCGCGATTCCGCTCGCGTTTTCTATTCGAACGACGCGACATGACGGGCGACCGTACCTGTTGTTCGATATTATTATCGGATACTGGGGTTATTTATGCAAATCTACATCTTATTCAAAGTGTATCACATTCGATCACATAGGATTACATATTTTATATACTGCCCAGTCTAGTTTATTGGTATTAAGCGTGTTTCACGGAACATCCTGTTGGGTTTTTTGATTGCTGGAGAACTAGGGACTAGATGCATCGTTATGGATCTTTTCTTGAGAAATACCACTCTTGGACCATACTACACGATTGAAATATGTATAAGGAAGGCAGAATAGAATCGTAAAGATAGGGGACGGAACGAACGAGGACGAGCGTATTAGAGGATCGATCGAAGGTGTAAAATATCATCGTGTCTTGTCTCCTCTTTATTAATTCCTCGACTTGTTTTTTCTCGTGTCTCTCAGACGACTCGTCGATATCGTTGAATCGGTGTTTCCAATGTAAATGTCTCGCCAATTAGTTGAAACGTCATTCGAATTTATATTATGTATCTAACGGATACCGTTGAGAATCGAACGATCCGAAATAATCGATTCCCTTATCGAGGCTGTTTCATCGAACCGTTATATTTTACGGTTTCCCGAACAACACGGTACGCAACAAGTTGCGTTAAGCTTTATTAGTTTGTACGAAAGCCAGAAGCTCGTCGATCGAGTTACCGAGATGGTGTGCTTGTAATATAATAATTTCTCCTGGAAACGATTCGTCGAACAGTTTTCAAATTTTCGAACAGCTCGATATTTCGCATCGAAAGATGGAAGGGGGTCCATGGAGCTCGATTAACGAGATGAAGAGACGAGGTTCAAGCCGAACGATCGTTAAGGCTCGCCTCGATCCGGATACTTGTTAAAAATTCGGTGATCCAGAAGGTAACGAAGAAGTTTTGCAGCCGGCTCGGTGGCACGGCAAATTTACCGATTAATTTTTTTCCCCCCCGTGCTCATTAGCCGCCCTTAATGGTGTCGGCGGCGTTAAAAAAAGCCGCGATTCCGAGTCACGCTGGTGGAACGCGTGTAACCCGCTCGAGACATCTTGCCACCTCGTCCGGTAATTGGATAGTCGGGGATGTGCCGCGGTTTACAAGAATAACGTGGCAATTTAGCCGACCGTTTAGCCTTCTACCTGACCAGAACCGATTCCCCCGATTCGTTAATCAGCACCAGGTGTCGCGGCACGCCGCGTTGCCCGCCCGAACCTCTGTACACCTGCACGCGGACGCTCCGGCTCGCGTCTATACGCCAATGATTATTTATCAACGTCTCGGTTAGGACAGTGGAAACGGCACGCCGCGTACGCATTGCACCGTCTTCGAACCGTTTAAAAGGGCTTTTATTGTCGTCGCACGGCTTCCCTTCTTTCATCCGATTTACCGCCGTCCGCGTTGATTTCCAACCGGTCTATCCACCGCTCTCCTCCCTTGTTCCAGGTTCTTTTCAACGTACACGCGAAACGGTAATTCACAAACGCGCGTGGAATATTTACGGCCAAGGCGGAAGGGAAATTTATGTATCGCTTCTCGCGTCGCAACGATACATCATCGGCGTGCGGTTAACCTAGCCAGCTCGTGCGACGATCCTATTTCGACGAATAGAAACGCCAACCTTTATTGATATCTCCAGCCGGCAGGCTCGTTGCCCGTTTCACGGACGCGATACGCCGTACAACCGCATTCCGCGACCGATAAAACGTCCGCTGTCGGTCTATTATTCGAAGCAACCCCGCGGGATATTGCTTCATCGAGGCGTCGTGTAGCGGCTCTCGGGTAAAAAGCCGATCCCTCTTTCTCTTCCGAACGACACGAACGAGTAACTTTGTAACGTCACGGTGCTGAATCGCGAACCCCTTTTGTTTCCGAAGTAACGACGTCTGTTTGCACCGGTGCGGTGACGGCGGGCTAACAAATGTCGCGCTTCAGGATAATTACTGGATGGAATTCGCTTGTCCCCCGGGAACCGCTTTCACTGGAACTTGCTGGATAAAGAGGAAAGGAGAGAAGAGATTCCCGAGCTGGATGGACCGACGACCGCAGAGAATTCCATCGTTCAACTCGAGATAGTCAAGCTTTGTATGCGGGAGCCATCACCCATCGCCGCAGGATGTCCGTCTCGATGGACACTGGTCAATCGAGCGTGACCGTTGCCCGCTGACGCATTTTTACACCTACGATTCTTTTTACCGACCAACATTCCCGGGACTCTAACCTTTAGCAGCTTTCAAACGTTCGGTAGCCATGTTCTAGAGATTTTTCTTACAATCAACTTGAAAATTTTATGGTTGATAATGATCGGTCACGATGACCGCAACGATCGGGTGATTTTGTTTTTTCGTCTGTTTACCATTTCCTACTACCAAATTCACCTACCTTTGTCCTTTAAACGATCTGTTAATTTTTTTCTACTTTAATGATGAAGATCCATTATTCTATTCGATCTCTCGCGGCTATTATCTTATGGACTGTTCATGAAGAAGCTAATGATACTCGTCGACTTTTAATTTTCTCTCCGCGATCATTCGAATCGAATCGCAAACGATTCGTAGCAATCGACTCAGAGTATCAAGAGTGTTCAGCCGGGAGGCTTAGCCTCTATTAAAGCGTATACCATGCGTAGAGGCGACACAGGAGACGGTTACCAGCCAATCGACCAATCAACAGCATTGTACCTGTGCCGTGCAATGATTGCAATTGGCTGATTAACGACCTTCTCTCCGCGTCGCACGGTTTCGCCACGGGGAGTCGCATAACTCGAGCGAACAAGTGCGTTTCGCGCACTCGATTGCAAACGGCTCGACGAGACGAGGCGTGTCACCTGCGTTGTCCATTATCGCCGCGTTTTTGCCGTTTTAGCGATCGCCATTTTGATTACATTATCAATCGATCGTTAGATCGGTGGTTCGCTCACGTGGCAGAGATTATGGATCGACCGGCGTACCGTAATGCCTTATAAATATTCGCGGCACCGATTAATAATTAATATTCCGCGAATGAGCAGAGATAAATCGCCGCGTTTTGTATTCATTAGACGTCGGGGAACGGTTGGCGAAGGCATGACGAGGGAAATTATCCGCGAAAAAACGAGAAGAATCGATTGCCGTTGATTAACAAGGCTACTGGCTGTCGTAACGTCGGTTTTCCTCGTTTGTCGCACGTTCGTTTTCACCTTGCAGAACTTTTTGCTTTTTTTTCATTCCGCGCACCCTGTGTACCTGTTGACGAGTAGTCGTTCTAGTTGCGTTCTAGTTTTCTTGCTGAATTGCCGTGTTAACGAAAACGCACTGATTAAACTAGCGAATTTCCGTTGTTAATTAAGAAGGCGAATTGTCGAAACGCGAAATTTGTCAACAGGTATCATATTTTAGTTAAATAAAATCTCCAGTCTCTATCCAAAATCTGTACCGATCCACGACGGAGTCTCAGGAACCGGGTCCTTTTCTCTTCCCGGGAAACAGTTTGGTCGCGTTAAACCTGTTCCGCGGTTCCTCGAATCCTCCCGTGTCCTTTGATCACGGGAACCAGCCTTTGAGTCTCGAACGGTACATAGGAGGAACGATGCAGACGGTCGGTGCATCTTGCACGCGAGCACAGGGACAACTCGTGATCCTCTGGTGCATCTCTCTCTCCCTGTCCTCTTCTGTCCTCTGTTCGGTCCGCGTTCGGCCTGGTGGATTTTCGGTACGCGAGCCTCCCGGCAAAGGGTGAATTAATGCCGATGAGAGCGGGCGCAGTTAATAAACCGGACTTATTAAACGATTACATTAACGCAACCGTCGCCGGAGATTAATGCACTCGGCTCTGGAACGTCTCACTCGTTGGCGAAGCGGCGTGTATATATACGAAGAAAGGCAGAAGCCGACAAGAAATATGATCTACACGGTGTGGGCACCGTATCGCGGTAGCCTCGAGATAATTACGGCCACGACCGGCGATAATTTTTGCGTATCGAAGGGCTAAGGTCCGACGCGAAAGCGGCCCGATAAAGGATCGCGCGTTAATAAACCCGCCTACTTAGCTTCTTCCTTCCTGTCCTTCCTAATTGGAGCGAAATCGATTAGAAAGGCAACGGTGATGCGGGGTAATTAGGTGAAAGGACAATCTTGTCTATCCTCCAGCGAGGCGTCAACGCTGAACATACCGTCTACTTTAATATCGAATACTTAATTACATTTTGGAGCGAGTTTTTTGCGTCAGGTCGATGGCTCGTTAAATAATTTGCTGCTGAACTCGCGAGCAATTAATCGTTGAATTCATCTGGTCATCCTCTGTACTAAACGATCTGAATAATTTTATGTATCGACAAGAAGATTAAATCTACCCAAATTTTCATCATAAATCATGTAAAACGCCTCGTCTGGTGATCCTGATGTTCGAGCGCGACGAAAGCGCAGAGAAGCAACGAGAGGTGTCCAAGTCAGTTTCCTCGGAAGTGAGGGAGGTGGAAAGGAAACGTACGGGTTGTTGGGAATTTAATAAAACGGCGGAAAAAGAAAATGGCGAGTGGAGAGGAACGAAGAGGGCGAGTTAGGACGCGAGCAGGTGGACGTGAAAGAGGCGAGAACACGAAACTACTCGGGCGGCAGGCCTGTCGGGGCTCTCTTGGCCCACCCGCACCTACCACTCGTCTCGATGTCACGTGTTTATAAATAGTGCATCAACGTAATGCCCGGCGGCTGTAACCACGGCGAAAGATTTACGCGCATCGTGGCCCCTATCCCCGCTGCGAGACACGCTGAACGCGGAAAGGAATTCCATGATATCATAACGAGGGTGTCTCATCTCGTACCTAGTTAGGCGTTACCGATGACCGTCCGAGATTTCGCGGCTGTTTCCTTTTCTTTGATCTGAGTCGCGACGCCTTGTTGCTTCTTCACTTTCGTGCCTCCTCTGTGTTACACGCCTTCTCGGAATCGTGATTTCGATTTCTATCACTGTCAC